TTTTGATTGATGTAACATCAGTACTTAAGTATTGTTACTTTTACATTATAATATTTAAGTTATGGACTATTAGGGTGAATAGTAAATATCACCCAGGCCAAAACTCTGCCTTCTATTCTGGGAAGAGAATTAGTGTTTTCATTTGTACATGGGATAGTTGTATCATATTAAGTGTAATTATAAACTTGCTATTGTATTTAGAGATTAAGTATAATTTAAGGAGAGATGTCTGGTTGCCAAGTTGACCCTGGGTAGATTGTGGCCATTAATCATGACAATTCAACTTGAATTCATTGAGACACATCTAGCAGATTAGTGAAGCACAGTTCTGTGTGAGTGCATGTGTATATGTATATGTATGTGTAAATGGCTGACATTTCTCTCACCAAACTGAAGGAAAAAAGACCAGATGTGGCTGGTACCAACCAATAAGGTTATATCCTGGAAGTAATGAAAAGAAAGAAGTAAGTATTGCCATTTTGGAAGAGATCCAGTCTTTCCTGTTGCATTTGCTTTCCAAAACCAATAAAACAATCATGACTACGAGCATATTTCAAACATGAGAAATCTATGTTTATTTAATTTGAATTTTAGGAAATTAACAAAAATCAGTATGCAATTCTGTGATTCACTATTGGCAAATTTTTCTCCTATAATTGCTGCATTTGAGAATTGCTATGATGCTGAATATTTTAGAGCAGGTATAGCTGTGTGTTTATTTCTATATTATACAACTCTCGGTACATATATCATTAAGTGGAAACCATTGTTCCTTTTCAAAAATCAAGACATTAGAATTCTCACTCATCCTGATATTTTCTTATAATAACTTCCTTTTTTTAGCTGTAAGAGAACAGTCATGTTTCCATGAAAATCAAAAGAAGCTGCAGGACACAGATTTACTTCTCTACTTCCCAACTATACCCAGTCTTCTCAAGGTTGACTGGTCACCTCTGGAATGAGGTGCTTCCTGAGAAATTTTAGGATTTCCTGCCAAGCATGTTCCTGTGCTGCTGCATGTGGGACAACTTCTCCTCCCCAGTGAATGGGTAACGACAATAAAGAGATCCTGGAAACAATGCACAGTGGAGTATAGGGAGGTTCTATCAGGTGGCCAGCCCCAGGGTAAGACAGCAGGGTCCAATTGTTCTTCCCATTTCTCCTCAGCTGGTCAGTGGCTCGTGCAGCATGTACTTTGGCATTGATATTCTTATCTTCTTCTCCCACAATGAAGAGGAAATGTCCCTTGGCTTTTTCAATGGGAAGAACAGACTGACTATTCTCAACTCCACTTCCCTCATAAGACTTATAAAACTCTGCAAATCCCAAGGCATTGGTGGATATATTCTCTATAGAGAAGGGTGCAGGCTGAGTGATCTGACCATGGTATACTTGTGGAATTGAAATAATGAAGTTAGGCCCATTAATCAGCACTGTGGCTGTGATTTGTTTTAGATGAATAGCCATAGACAGTCCAATCTCTGCTCCTTTACATAAGGAGACTATCCCAAGGCCTGGGCCATAGACCTGAAAACAATGGAAAGGAAATGTTATTCTTTCAGTTGAAAGAAAAAAATGTAATTTCAGACAATTGTAGAATTTTAATTACTGAAAAAATAAAGTAAGTCAAAAACCCCTATCTCTTATATCTCATGTCTAAAGTTTTCCAATATAAATTGTGTATTCAAGGGAAATACTCTTTTGAAAATTTATCAGGCTTTGTTAACTAAATAATATGGACTGAGTGTGGTGATTGGGTTTTTTCAGTTTTAAATACCCTGAAGAAATATGGTAAAGTAAGTAATATGCATGTACCATTGTAAGTAATATGAGTCAGGGAATAATAGATTAGTAAACTTTGTTGTACCAATTCTGCTCTCTAGAAATTCAGAAGGACCTGAGAAAGGTGAAAGCAGGATGGACCAAAAAACTTGGACAGAAGACCTTACACTTTTTTGTTTTCAAAAGGAAATTTCAAAAAGACGCCTTGAGCAGCTTCCTCTTTTATTGTCAGTCATCAATAAGCTTTTTTAGATTATCCACCTTGTCTTAAAAACTGAGACACTGAGAGAGGAAAGTCACAATTTCTTGGCATCAAGGAATTCCCTGCCAGATGGAAAGACATGAGAGAAGACCAATAACAAAATCAAGATGATTCAAGTACTATGAGTTCTATGATATAAGAATGTATGCAGACAAAGCTACCAATGCAGATAGGCAATGAATAAAGTCAAGGAAAAACTCTCAGAGGAAATGCGCTATGAATTGAGCCTTTATATTAAAAATGGCAGCTAACAAGAACAGATAGTATTCTACACTGAATTTAGCAGACATTGCTAATTTCAAGACTAGGATGACCTTGATCTTGTGTGATAATTCCCCTACAAAACATACTTTTTTAGGCTCTGCTAATAATGGTCATGACATTCTACTTAAGCACTTCTTTTTTCCTCATGCAAAGTTATACAGAATCATATAATGAAAGCCTATGTTTCTGACTATTCTTTCCAGTTTAGGATGCTAGCATGTTGGTTTAATGCCTGACATTGTCAGATATCTGGTGACCTGGAGTACACATCCAGAAAGTTGTAAAAGTGTCAACCCAGTCTCCTTGATGAGATATGTTACTGATTTTCTGAATCAAGTTTTGAGCCACCTGTTTCAATGTTACAAGAGATAAAAATGCTTTATGTTGATGTCGTTTGAATCACGATTAGCCACATTCCTGGGAAATGTAGCCAGAATATTCCTAATGGACTCACCATGTGAGGAGCATGTACAAAAACTGTGGCAGCAAACACCAGTGCACTTAGGAAACCACAGGTAGCTCTTCGTACTTGAATTTGGAAGATAAGGTGGGAAACAGAAAAATAAGGTGGAAAAAGAAAATGACACCATGATAATGAACATTTAAAAAAGATATACTAAGCTCCCTTGACTCTTCCTAAATAAAGAGGAACATTAAAGCAGAATTGAAAGATGGGGAGAAAATAAGGCTGAATATGTATATAGAAGTCAAAACATAATATATTTTGTCTAGTAGGCTAGGAACTCTGGCTTTTATCCTTTATTCTTTAGCAAAAGAGAAGACTCTGCACAAGTGAGCAAAACAGCTGTGTCCAAAAATGCCAATTGTATAACTCTTACTTGAAAAAATGGAAGCAGAAAGCCAGAACTTAATGTAATAGCATAGGCCAGAAATGATGGGGCCCTGAAAGAAAAGAGCACAAGTGAAGAGAAGTGAAAGGGAAACACATGTCCATGAGTTGTCTATGATGTAGAATATATACACAGTTCTCAAGCACCAGGTAGTTTTGGGAGTGCAAAGGAGAAGAAGTTAATGATGATTGTTGTTTATGGCAGAAAATGCAGTTAAGAATGATTATCTTTGTGTCCTTACTATTGCAAGGACTGAAATTCAGACTTTTCTAACATCTTTACTGTCCTTACATTCTTTTCCTAATTGGTCTTCTATATTTTCAAGTCATTTTATCAACAAATGCATAAAGGTTATCTTCATGCTATTTAGAAAAAAATGACTGAATATACCACTTGTGCCTGGTGGTCAGAAATGTGGGAAATAATTAAGATAAGGAAATAAAACCCTCAAGAAACAGAATGAGTCATATATACTATTTCATTAAATGTTTAAAAAAGGATGGTTTGTATGAATTAAAATATGTGAAATTCTTTTCTAAGTTTTACTTTTAATTGACACAATAATTCTATATATTTATGAGATATAATGTGATATTTGTGAGTATACATTTTGGAATGAGCAAATCAGGTTAACAAATGTATTTTATCACTTCACATACATACTTTTCCTTGTGGTAAGATCATTTGAAATCTACTCTTGAAGTTAAAAATACACTATATCATTCTTAACCATAGTCACCATGTAATATGACAGATCAAAAGAAATTATTCTCCCTGTCTTACTTGGAATTTCTACTCTTTGACTAACATTTCTCTTTTCCTAAATCCACCCTTGCTTCAAAATTCTTTCTTAATATAAAAGATATTCACTGTTAAAGCAAGGAGATCTAAGAACTCCATGCAATTGGTCAGGCAAAATAAGTAAAATCATGTATAACATAAATAACAAAACAAGGTGACTCAAACATGTGCAGATTTTATCTAATTTATTTATGATCCTTGGAGGAAAAATAACTCTTGTCTTAATTTCTGCCATCAAATTTGGAATCAAGGAATAAGTTCATAGAAGTTGCATAAAATCAATAGGTAGAAAAGTAAAACCTGAAAGGAATTGAAAGATCTCTAGTCTATCATGCTTCAGAAGAGGCTCTGTGGGCCCGGGGATTTAGCTCAGTGGTGCTTCAGCCTGCCTCTCAAGTGCAAGATCCTGAGTTTGATCCCTGGTACGAAAAAAAAAAAAAAAAAAGAGGCTCTGTGAAGCAAGGATGGATGTACTCAGCACGTTGGAAAGAAATCTGGTCAGTCACTAGCTATGTAGAATTGCATCAGTAGGGACAGAATATGATTGCAAGCAAGTATAAGAGGAACAAGACTAAAGAAGTAAAAGAGAAGAATCACATAATTTCTTCTTTGTTTCATCCAAGACAAAGGGCTGGCATAATTATAATATTGACTATCCTATAGTTCAAGGACGATTTCATTACAAGGATCAAAGAGAGCCATGTAAAGTTTTAGTACATCAGAACATTATCAGTAATTGTTCAATTTACTGTAATCCTGACTAAATTTTGGTTGGCCATACATGAATATTTCTTACTAATTGGATTTTATTTTACTTCAATTCTTATGAGAAAAAAAAGAAAATCATCAAGGGATACTAAGCACAAAATCTGATACAGCAGCAAAGAACATATTTTAAGGTGTGAATTGCAAAATACTAAAGTATTATATTTAAATTGTCTTAAAAGTCCATATCAATTCTTCAAAGAAATACACTTTATCTGTCAGGTTTAGGAAAATGATGAGATGGTAATGATAATAATAATTGCTTATTTTTATTGAGTGATTAGCATTGTCAGTTAGTAAATAAGTGCTTTGCATGTGTAATTCTCTTCAAAACTCACCAAGACCTTGAGAAATAGTAGCATAATATATATATGTATTATATTATAGTATAGTATAGTATAGTACAATATACATATATTATATATGTATATATATTATTTATGTTGTGGAAAACACTGAGGATGAGAGAATCTAATTCAGTAACTTGACCCAAATCCCTTACCCACATGAAATGAGGCCAGAAATATACCTTATTTTGGTGTAAATGCAAAACTTACAACTTTTGATATCAAGAAGAATACAGGCTAATGTCGTATGAATTTTGTTTTTCTGAACAAAAGACATTGGGTGAGAAATAAGTCCACATGAATAATGTGGACACATAGTAGAATTTGAACTCCACTGGAAGTTAAGGCAAGTTACCAAGTATTATAGTTATTTAAAAACCCAGGGGTAAAGACAGTTTAAACATAAATATTACCTTAGGATGTCTCAGGAGAAAGTTAGCAGCTTCCTCAAAATAGTCTAAATCTACTTTTTCCAGGTGGCCAGGCAGGTCTTCATAGGCCAAAAAAGCTAAGGCCAATGAGACAAATCCATGACTGGCCATAAGACTGGCCCTGAATTCAACAAGTCCACCAGTATTGCCATACAAATCAATTACCCCTGGGAAAGAGCCCTCTCCTGAAAAAGAACAAGACAAAATGGAATTTCGTATGAAGTGACAGTGAGGAAAAGTTAGGCAAAATTTGGCAACAGCACAAAAAATGGCAACAGATATTTGCATTTAATGTATAAATTTTCAAATACAGTCCCAAATTTTCAGCTTTATACCTGGGCCAGAACAAGGACTAATTAATATGTAATATTTAATAGAACACAACATCTAGACATTTTAATGGAAAACATAGTCAATGACGTTACCCTCTGCAGCAAAGGATTATGTGTTCATTTCTATATCTTAAAGAATGGTTTAAAAATTGGACTAGAAGCTCTTAAACAACAAAAGATACACAAATGAGATTCAGAAAATCTATGAAGGTCTAAAAGTTATATGCAAAAACAACAAAACTATATGTGCATTTTACTGATAAAAGGTGCTATAGTTTGACTTAAAGTGTTCCCCAAAGGCATATGTGTTAAAAACTTCTCTCCTACAGGAGGTTGTTTAAGGAGCTCTCTCAAGAGTTTTAGTTTAAGCATTTGGTACAGTACTGTTGTCACAAAATGCTAGCTGAGATGATGAACTAAAAGTTTGCAACAAATATAGAGGATGCACAAACTTTTATCTCCCTGAGGTAGAAATGAATTTAACACAACTCCAAAGTTTTGACATCCAATGGTGTAGGGACTCTGTTACTCATTACATATAGTCCTAGGCTTAGACAAGCTCCAGAATAATTGAGGTAAAATTGATTTAGAGAGAAATATTACCATGTGCTTGTTTTGATCCAAAGTCAACATTTACTCTAAGAAAGGAAAGTAGGGCAATATGTATTAGGCACATTCAAGATAAATTTCTAGAGCAATGAGTCATTTAAAAGAGGAAAACACAAGGGAGGGGGGTTTAGCTCAGTGGTGATCCCACCTGCCTCCCAAGCACAAGGTTCCAAGTTCGATCCCCAGTACAAAAATAAATAAATAAATAAATAAATAATAAAATAAAAGAGGAAAATATAGGATAACAATAAGCAGAGTCATTCTACTCACCTGGAGGAATAAAGAGGGCTCCCCGGAGGCGGCCTTCCCTCACCTGGATCCGTGTGACACCAGGTGCCACGTACCACCTTTCCAGGGTCAGGCTGGCAATTGGAGCACTGGTCAATTCAGATTTTACTGGAGGACGTGGTTCACAAACTTTTAATTGGACCTCGAATGGGCTATTTATCACATCTCTTTTTATCAGTCTTGTTAACAGCTTTTCAGGTTTCAAGGACCAGAGGAGTCCCATGGGGTGGATTCCCACATAGTTACCTCCAAGTGCAGCATCACGCTCCAAATCTACCTCACCAGCTTCATTGGCCTTATAGTAGGCCTCAGAATAAAACAGGTTCCCCTTTTCATCTCTCAGTGATGCCTGAAGACTCACCATCTTGAAAGGACTCAGGCCTGTAACGCGGATATGGACGGGCTCATCAGCAAGTGCACTCAGAGGAGAAGCTGTCAGCTGAACCATTTTGTAGGTAAAATGTTGGTCTTCAGAACTACTCAGTAAAATCTAGAATTATTAAAAAATAAGGAGTAATGGAAATAAGGTAGTGATAAGGTTAATGAGTGGTGAAATAGTCCAGGAATATTTAGATTCACTTTTAATCCTCTGGCAATTTAGGAAATATCCTTTTATCATCTTCTAGTGCAAGATAACTGAGAGTGTGCAACAAGTTTCTGGAAGTCAAAAATAAACAATGTTTTATTACAATTAAACCATACTTGAGAAAGCAGCAGTCCAAATATGCATGAATGATATCAATATATCAAGGATGATATCATTGTCATATAGCTCTTGAAATATCAAATATAAAAAGGGATAGGACTGAGATGCAGGGCTGAAAGTTAGACAATTTATTGAACTTCTGTCCATACATAAGAGTTAATTAATACTCTTATGTTAACAATACTAATGCCATCCCAAAATCCTGAAAATGGAATTTCCAGCATCTAAGACTTTACCTCCAACACAGCACTTGAAAAAAACAATCAAAAGAATGAGAATGAAATATTTTGAAAATAAAGCTACCGTGTTTTGTTTCCTAGAGAAAAGATATCTATCTCTTTGTGTTATCAATTCACCCAGTGAAAGAACAAAAGTAGAGGTTAACAAGAGCTTCAGATACACAGAAGTCTTGCTAAACTGTTTCCAACCTCACTCTTAAAAATTAACATCTTTGTTGATGTGGAGAAAACCACAAGTGATCACTGCTCTCACTCCAGCAACCAAACAATTTGGACAAACCTCAAAATAACATTTTGTTTATATGTTTTTTATTTATTTGTTCTTTCTTTTTGTTTAACTCATTAATTTGTTTGAATGCCAAGACTGAATTTAACTCCAGCAAGGTACAAGCTATGTAGGAGACAGAAAATTTTTTCTGCTAATTACTAATTGTTATAAACTGTCAAAAAAGATACTCCCACAGAGATTAATTAGAATAAATGATCAAAAACCTTTATGCACTTTTAATGAATGTGTACGGGCTGGTTTTGAGACAGAAGTGAAGCACCTGTTTCACATTTGTCCCTGTGCTGGCTATGGAGGTGTGTGACTTGGTCTGTGGCAGGGTGCCCCTCTTTATTGCTCCTCTTTACTCCCCCTTATACACCAATAGACTGGCACAGTTTGCGTCAGTGTCCTCCCTGGCTATCAAATCCCCATTTGCCACTCCAACATGAGTGCAACCAGACAGCATAATGCCCCTTCCCCACTCCCTCCACTTTAGATAATACTGTAATGTTTTTGAGAACTGAGAGGACACCGGCAGTAGGTAAGATCAGGAAGGGAGAGATCTGGGTCCCTTATTTGCATATCCAGCATTCAAAGCAAACCTTCCAAAAGATTTTCTGGTTTCAGTCCTCACCGTCAATAAAACAGGCCTGCAAACTGCTACATAAGTAGCATTTTTCAAAAGGGGATCCTGCGGTTTTGGTCTAGTTGAGCTATCTCCCTAATACTAGCACCTCTGTACTACAACACAGATCTTGTAAAAATAAAGATTTTCTTTATGATCTGTTGGCTATATGTTGGCTTTTTGGCTATAAAAAAACCTGCCAACTTTTTATAGGTCCTCACTGTATGTTGAATAGCAGTGTGTGAAAAACAGAGCCAGCATACTCCAAGTCTCAGGCTGGAGATAAATTCATGAGTGATTATAGGCTTTCCAGTAAAGGAAAGAAACTATTCTCTAAAGGGGGAGAGCAGAGAAGCAGACAAAAGTAGCCCTACACTCTGAAAACCAGGAGCATGACTAAAGAACTAGGAAAACTCCTTAAAATTCCTCCAGAAGAACTGTAAATAAGAATGTCATAATGTGACAAGCTAGTAACATGTCTATCAAACACAGAAATTACCCAGAACTTCATTAGCTTGTGATGCAAAAGGCCTAATCCACAAACTAAAACTATCTGAATCAGTGGTGCACTGAATTAAAGCTGCAACTAACCCTGGACCCATCTCAAAAATAGCTCATAATTAGCCCTTAATTCCAACATTCTGAGAGAATAGAGGTATCCTTGTTTTCTAAAGGGAAATTTTTTGGTCAATACTTTCCTAAAAAAATATGCAGAATTAACATTTTTAAAATTATGATGTACAAGAGGGGCAGAAAAAACTAACTCATGATTATAACATCAAGCTGTTATGATCAAAACAGAAGCAGCCCCAGAACTTGGAATTGTTAGACAAGAAATAGAGTAAAGGAGCAGCAATTATATGGACAGCCCAGTGAATACACCCATAGTAAACTACAAAAACAATAACATAAAATAACAGAGCATTTGAGATTTGAGGGAAAATATCAACACTCCAATATATGTGTAATTACTGCCTTAGAGAGGCATTAATTAAGCCTAATTAAACCTAACTAAGCACAAAAGAAATATTTGAAAAATATGCCTGAAATTTCCCCAAATTTCTTGAAAAACATCATGACACATCTGCAAAAAATGGGACAAATAAAAGGAGGACTAGAAAAAAGAAAACCACAACTGTTTTACTCAAACTGACAGCATAAAAAGCAGATTTTCAAATTACAAAAGGAAAATAGAAACATACACAAGAGAATGACTAATATTATATTTGTTTCTTACCACAAACAATGAAAGGCAGATGATAATAAACTTTTATAGTGTTTAAAGGGAAAAAATATTAAATAAGTGAACCCAAAACAGACAAAAAACCCAAAACTCCTTGCATTACAAAAATACCCTTCAAAAATGAAGGGAAGGGGCCGGGGATTTAGCTCAGTGGCACCAGGCTTGTCTTGCAAGTGCAAGGTCCTGAGTTTGATCCCTGGTACAAAAAAAAAAGAAGAAGAAGAAGAAGAAGAAGAAGGCAAAATAAAGATGGTGCCAGAAAAACATCTGGGATATTTTGTCTGCAGTAGAGCAGCAATTCAAGAAATGTGAAATACTGATGGAAAATTATAACAGATAGATGAGTTGATCTATTTGGGAAAAGATGAAGATCAACAAATGGTAATTACCTAGAGAAATATAAAAGTACCTTTGCAAAAATCTCTCTCTCTCTCTCTCTCTCTCTCTCTCAAAAATAATAGCAATGTATTATGGGGTTATATAACATACAGAAACAACATATATTGACTAAAATGTGGGAATGGGAAAAATAAAGTCACATTCATATCACTATTTTCCAAGAAATACAAGGACACTTGCAAATGGACTGTCATAAATTTAAGGATATGAAAGGAGCTCAGTGATCTGGGCGATAGAAAAAGAGAAACACTGAGTTGCCAGGTATCAGAATATTCAACTAATGCAACAAGCTAAAAATGAATGGTATAGCAAATGTCAACAGCAGAGAAACGGCTCAGGTGCACAAAGTTCAGTGGATAACAGATGCAGAGGCCTTCTCACTATTGAGGCGGTCCCATATAAAATGGACTAGAAATTTTATGAACATTTTAGGTATGGGAGAAGGGCAAGGAAGGAAGCTTTAGAAGTTGGAAAAAAATTGGGTATCAAGTCTGAGTAGGGAAAAGTATCTTTAATTTCCTCCTTTCTCTGAATTTGAGAGGAACTTCAAACTTTTAACTTAATTAATAAATGATCTAAAACAAATACACTTAGGCTAGAAATGCAAATAAGCAGAGATCATAGTTCGCCTGAGTCATTTACTTCAACTCTTTGCAGAAATTGCAATGCATTGACTCATAGTGTGATCATCTTTCCTATGTATCAACAAAGCAGAAACTTCAGATAGAATGAATACATCAAGCAAGGCAAGTAGTTAAACAAAGAAGGAAAAATAAAGGAATCATCAACAGAAAAAGAATGCAATCAAAGGTTGAAATTGATACATTTTCAGCAATAATTTTCAATCTAAACAGCTTCACTTCTCCAATGAAAAGACAAAGATTGGCAGGCTGGATTAGAAAAAAAAAGACAGAATCCAACAGTTGTCACATTTGAGAAACTTATCTAAATCAAAAAGAAATTCATAGACTAAAAATCAAAGGATGGAAAACAATATTCCATGAATAAGGTCCCCCAAAGCAAGCAGCAGTATCATTCTTATTCTCAGACAAAATAAACTTCAAGCTAAAACTGATTAGAAAATGCAAAGAAAGTCACTACATATTAGTTAAGGGACCAATCCAACAGGAAGAGATAACAATTGTAAATACATGCATTGAATATTGGGGTACCTAACTTCATTAAAAATACTACATAGAAGATAAAAAAGACATAAACATTATCTTACTGGCTGACCCCAATATCCCAGTTTCATAAAAAGATGTATCAGCTAAACAAAATATCAACAAAGAAATGTCAGAGCTGAACCACACCCTTGAGCAAACGGATTTAATTGGTATCTACAGAATGTTCTACCATACTACAACAGAATACACATCTTTTCAGCATCACAGGTAACTTTCTGTAAAATAGATCACATACCAGTTCACAAATGCTGCTTAAATAAATACAACAGAATTTAAATCACCTCATGTATACTATCAGATCATTGTGCATCGAAACTAATCAATCACAAAAGAAGCTTCAGACAATTTATAATCACCTACAAACTTAGCAACACCCTCCTGAACACTCAATGGGTTACAGAAAAAAAACAAAGAAGAAATTAAACTATTTCTGGAATCAAATGGCAATTCCAGTACAACCCACTAGCACCTATGGGACACAAAGAAATCAGTTTTAAGATGGAAGTTTATTGCAGTCAGTGCTCTACATTAGGAATACAGAGTGAGCTTAAATAAATAACCTAATGGTGAATCTAGAGACACATGAAAAACAAGAGTCCAAATGCAAACCTAGTTTAAGGAGGGAAATCATACAGACCAGAGCAGAAATTAATAGAATTGAGACTAAAACACACACACACACACACACACACACACACACACCACTCACATACAACCAAAGAATTAATGAATTGAAGAGCTGGTTCTTTGAAAGAGTAAAGTGCATAGATAAGCACCTAACTTACTAAAAGAAGAGCAAATTAATAGATTAGAAATGCAAAAGATGAAATCACAACAGTCACTGCCAAGATTCAAGATTATTATAGATACTATGAAAAATTGTACCCCCAAAATTGGAAAATCTTGGAGAAATGGACAGATTCCTATAAAGATGGATAAAAATTACAAAAACTGAACCATAAAAACATAAAATTCTGAACAAACAATGAAATCGAGTCAGTAATAAAAATCTAACAACTAAGAAAAGCCCATGGCCTGATTGATTCACAGCTGAGTTCTTCAAGACCTTCAAGAAGGGTAAAACACAAGTACTCCTCAAACTCTAAAGAAATTTAAAAGGAAGAAACACTTCTAAACTTCTTCAAGGAATCTAGTATCACTGATTCAGAAATCAAAGACTCAACTGAAAAGGAAAACTATAGGCCAATCTCTTGGGTGAATATAGACACAAAAATTCTCAATAAGATATTGGCAAATCATCAAAAGGACCATACATCATTACCAAGTTGGGTTCATTCCGAGGATGCAAGGATGGTTCAACATATGGAAACCAATAAATGTAATACACCACATAAACAGACAGGACAAAAATAGAATTGTCACATAAATAGATGCATAGATTTTTGACAAAATTCAACACCCATTAATGACTTTTTTTAAAAACCTAAAGAAAATAGATACAGAAGGACCTTACCTCAAAATGATAAAAGCCACTTATGACAAATCAATGGCCAACATTATATCAAATGTAGAGAAGCCAAAAGCTTTTCCTTTAAAATCAGGAACAAGACAAGAATGTCCACTATCACCACTCCTGTTCAAAACATTAGCCAGAGAAATCAGGCAAGAAAAAGAGATAAAAGGGATATATAAATAGGAAAGGAAGAAAATACATTATCATTTGCAGGTGGCATGATCCTTTAACATGAAGATCCAAAATATTCCACCAAAAAACTTCTAGAATTAATTACCAAATTCAATAATGTACAGTGGACTCTTGACTTACAAACTTGATCAGTTCCTGAGGGCTGCTGCTAACTTGAGTTGGTTGCACATCAAAACAGCTGCAATCTGGATTTTTACCTGGGTACAAACTGTAGATAACAAAAGGCAGATTAATCTTCCATTAACCTAATTAACCCAAGTTGTTCAACCCAAGTTGGTCAGGCCAATCACAACTTGAGGGTTCACTGTAATAGGATACAAAATTTACATGCAAGGACAGGGATTTAGCTCGGTGGTTTCACTGCCTGCTGCACAAGCGCAAGGACCTGAGTTCAATCCCCGGTACAAAAAAAAAAAATTACAAGCAAAAATCAATAGCATTCCTGCATAGCAATAATGAACTTCCTGGGAAAGAAATTAGTAAAATAATACCATTCACAACAGCATCAAAAAATATTAAATATTTAATAATAAAACTAACCAAGGAAGAGAAAGACCTCTACAAGGAAAACTATAAAACTCCAAAAAAAGAGAGTGAAGAAATTTTTAGAAAATGGAAAAATACCCTCTGGTTCTTGAAAGGCAGAACAAATTTTGTCAAAATGGCCATATTTCCAAAATTGATACACATATTTAACATATCCCCAATCAAAATAGCAATATCATCCCTCAAAGATGTAGAGAAAACAATCCTACAATTCATATGGAACCAGAAGAGACCAAAAATAGCAAAAGCTATCCTGGATAAGAAGACCAAGGCAGAAGGCATCACAATCCTGGACTTCAAGTTATATCACAAAGCTACAGTGAAAAGAGGAGCATGATATTGACACAAAAAAACATGTGAGTTAATGGAACAGGACAATGGAGAAACAATCTCAGACACACTGAGCTCATAAAAGAGCCAAAAATATACACTGGTGGAAAGATCACTTCTTTAGAAAATGGTGCTGGGGAAACTGGCTATCCACATGCAGAAGATTGAAGCTAGATCAGTATCTCTCACCACATAGTAAACTAAAATCAAAATAGATAAAAAATCTAAGTATTAAAATGTAACATTTAACCTCCTGGAAGAAAAAATAGGCATAAATCTTGAAGTCATAGGTGTGGGCAGAGACATTCTAAACAAAACTCCAGAAAGCTTCTGCACAGCAAAGGAAACAACCAACAGAGTGAAGAGACAACTTACAGAATGGAAAAATATTTTTTGTCAGTTATACCTTGGATAGAGGATTAATATCTAGAATATATAAAACAACTCAAAAACAAAACAACAAATACCCAAAGAAAGTTCAACCACTAGCCATTAATAAATGCAAATGAAAACAATGCTGAGATTTCATTTTATTCCAGAAAGAATGACAATCAACAAGAAATCAAATATAGGGCCGAGGATTTAGCCCAGTGGTTCTGCCACCTGCCTGGAAAGTGCAAGGTTCAGAGTTTGATCCCTGATACTAAAAAAAAGAAAAGAAGTCAAATATAATACTAATAAATGTCGGTGAGGCTGCACTGAAAAGAGAACATCCTACATTGCTCATAGGAATATAAATTAGTACAACCACTATAGAAATCATTATTGAGATTCTTAAAAAATCTAAAAATAGAAATTCAATTTGACCTAGCTATTTTCCTACTAAGCATCTTCCTGAAAGAGTAAAAAACATCATATTGCAGTGATACATGCATACCAATGTTTATAGCATAACAATTCATATTAGCTAAATCTTGGCAGCAGCATATATGTCTGTCAGCAGACAAATGGATAGAGAAAATATGTTATCTGTACATAATGGAATACTAATTTGCTATAAAGAAGAATAAATTTTAGCCATTTTTGGAAAATGGTTAGAATTTGAAAGTACATTGTTAAGTGAATTAAATCAGACACAAAAGTTTAAATGCCATATGGTTTTTCTCATATGAGAAATCCATAGCATAAATAAAGAGAAAAATAAAAGACAGATAAAAGGAAATGGGAAGAGAGACCTTTGCAAATGGGAAGGGTACCAAGAGATGGAGAGTGGAAGGAACAAGAGAGGGAGAGAGGACCTATAAAGAAACTAATGTGTCATATACACATACAACTATCCACAATGAATATAAATCCCAGGCTGGTGTTGGTGTTTTCATTTAAATAGCAAATCACTATTACTGTTCTTTCTAAGAAAAATATGACTGAAAAATCTATCCTTGTCTTACACTCCTCAGAACGTCACAGATCTCTGAGATTGTGAAGGGAGTAGAAAGACTGTTTGTCCTTGTAAACCTCTAAACTCCAAACACTAGAGAAAATAACCTGATTTTTACTTCTAATTCAACAGCTGAGATTTTAACCAGTCCCAAAGAAGAAGTGATAATTATAAACCAAAATACCTGAGTTTTTCCTCTGGAGCCTTATTTTCCAGCCATAAACAAACAGGACAAGCTACCTGTGTGTTTCCTCAAAATCTATAATTCAAATGCCTTTTATTGGATAACATTGCTGATACCAGCAGCTTAGTCACCACCCTTTTCTGTCTAGTTTCATATTAACTGTTACATTTCAATTAACCCGGCCCCTCCTTTGTCCTTCTTTTTATTTGCTATTCTTTTGATTTCAACCTCTTAGGTACAGCACTTATATTTTACCCACATATTCTATTCACTTATTTTTTTTTATAAACATGTTTTCTAAATTCTGTTGGTGCTATTTGGGACATTTGACCTGTACAAAAAAAGAAATCAAATATAACTAGGGGTTAGAGTAGATCCTTTAAAGTTAGAATTTTTTAAAAGATTAACTATGTCTTCAGTTTCTAATGTTGAGAGCAAAACCAGCCACCCCACCTCAACCCCAGGTGCAGGGACAAGCATTCAACATTTCCTGGGTCAAAGCATGGCTAAATCCATGTGTGTATATTTCCCCACTTTTGTTCCTTGGCTTTTTTTTTTTATAAAGGACTTCTGTATGCTCAAGGGATTGACCAAATTGTGAATAAATTTGCTTTAAGGTCTTTATAGACTCTTCTTGTACAGTTGATGGTAGGCAGTCAATTGAATTCAGACACCTGTGGTCCAGATTCAGGTCTCTAACCCAACCCCTGTGCCAACAGAATGGTGACCGTGAAAGGGCTAGCCAGCACTCCTAAGATTACAGTGTTCTAAATATTTAAATTGTGCTTCTCTTTTGATTATAATTTCCATCTTTAATTCATTTCTGTCTTTTTACATTTTACTGTAGACATTCAAGAGAAGCCATGTTACACTTTGAACATTTACTCAAAGATTTATTTCACAAAATCTTATTCTATCAATTTTAAGCTACTTTCCACAAAACATTAGAGAATAAACACAGTCAAGTACTTTATTACTTTATAATAATCATGGCCTTTTTATTAGTTTATAATAACATATCCTTCATTTCCATTTGAGATTTTATCAGAATGTCATCAGTGTCCATAGGATTATTGTCCTATCAGTATGCTAATCATGAACACTTAAATAATTTCTGAAAAAATTGGTTTTGTAGTTCTCCTTTTCTCTGAGCCCTCATCAGAATGAAGCTCAAGGTCCCATTCACAACAGTGTATCTCAAAACTCTTCTATTCTTTAATCACTACCAAGTTACAAAGCCATTTCTACATTTATAAGTATTTGATCCAACACCTCATGGTATTTCTTGGTGTCAGAAACCAAAGGAGAATTGAGGCTTAATTGGCCTCCTCTGTGAGCACAAGGCCACACTCAGGGGTAATTGAACATTGCAGGTTCTAGAGAAATCTTAAGACAGTTGAAGTTAAATTGTTTACTAGGGGATGTACTAATGGATATTTGAAAGCAGATGAATCTTGGTTGCTTATACCCATGTTTGGGTGAATAAAGGCAAGACTGGTCAGACACAGAGGGCCCCTCTGCCTACTAGATGTGAGAGCCCCATGTCTGCCCACATGTTAAACTGACTCTGTGTCACTATCATTTATTCTCATTCACCTGGGGCTCAGGAGAACAAAGTAGCAGGTTTAGGTCCTGGAACACTGTTGGCTGGGTGGGTCAGCTACAGGTTGTGACCCAGTGTAGATCTCAGGACCTATGCTGGGCTACATCTTGGTACCAATCTGTGATAGTCTACTCTTGTTACTATAATAAATATTTTAGAGCAGACAATTTATAAATGATAGAAATTTAATTCTCACACAATGCTGGAGATTAGAAACTCTAAGGTCAATAAGTTTGCAGATTCAGTGACTGGTAAGTATTCATTCTTTGTTCTATCAATGGCACCCTGCTTTTGCATCTTCATATGGTAGAAGGGCAGGGCAGTTCTTTTCAATGTCTTTTGCAAGGCACAGGTCACTTTTAATATCCCTTCATCTTTTGGAAAACACAGAAGGAATGGACAGATTCCTAGATACATATGAATTACCAAAGCTGAATCAAGACGATATAAAAATTCTAAACAAAGCAATAGTGTTGTAGAAAATCTGGACCAGGAAAGATAAACCCACTCAAAAGACATGGAGGAAAACTTTACTTGACCCAGTGGGACTAGGTACTCAATAAAGACCTGGGGCTCAAAATTTAAAAATGGGAGAGTTTTATACAGTTGTGTAAGTTGGGCTTGGGATGAGCGATAATGTAACTGTCTTGAGGTTGGGGCTTTCTTTAGGAACAGGGTGTTCACATAGCATAACACAACAGGATACATATTGTGAACATTGAGGCTAACTAGATACATTTTCAAGGCTAACAGTGAGGACATAACAGAATACACACTGTGAAAACTAAAGCTAACCAGATATACACATATATTTTGTGGTGGCTTACACTGTGATTATATTAAGTATCACTTACCAGGAGGAGTTGTGGATCTGCCTGTTTCTGGGTAAATAGGAACAAAATAAGGGCCTGTGGGAATTCCTAAGGCTTGAATACCTAAAAGTTTAAAGCTCCTTCATTAATATCAGTCAATGAAATTGAAAATCTAATTAAAAACCTACCAACAAAGAAAAGCCCAGGTTCTGATGTCTTCACCACTGAATTCTACAAGAAATTTAGAGAAGGTCTTCTGCCAATTCTCTTCAAACTCTTTAATGAAATAGAAAGGAAAGCAATACTCCTAAAATCATTCATGGAAGCAAGTATTACCCTGATACCAAAACAAGAGAAGAACCCAACCAAAAAAGAAAACTTACAGGCCAGCAGTGCATGGTTGCTTGGTGCCCCCACCTCGCCCCTGCCTCAGGACTGGCTGTATGATTAGGCCACAATCTTCAATGAGTAGACATATTCCTTTCTGTGGTGTTCTTGGTTACACACTTATGGAGTTTCTGAAGGGCAGTGGAGATTACTGCCAGGCACAGCACGACCTCTATGCAGACAAGTGAACTGTAGAGATCCATTACTGCTCCACCAAGAAGCCCCGTGAGAGAGGTTCACCTGGACAAAGAAGTGGTGAATTGAAATCATAGAGCATTTTACAAGAGTTCTGACCTGGATGGGGTAAATCTTAGTGCACTTCCTTTCTCTTGCCTCGGTATTACTGGATTGAAGGATTGTTGCTTCTTGTTAGGAGGTTGATTTCATTTCCCAGTACTCCCAATACCATACTCAAAGCACTGAGAAGTTCAAGTGGAGTATATTGAAGTAGACTTCAGTTTCTTGCATCATTTCTATTCAAGTTTTAAAATCTTTCATAATCCTCTTAAGTTTTTTTTAACTAAATTAATAATGGCTCGAATGAACCACGCAGCTCCTGTGGAAGTCACATACAAGAGCATGAGATTCCTCATTACATGCAATCCAACAAATGCAACCTTAAACAAGTTTATAGAGGAACTTAAGAAGTATGGAGTTACCACAATAGTAAGAGTATGTGAAGCAACGTATGACACTACACTTGTAGAGAAGGAAGGCATCCATGTTTTTGATTGGCCTTTTGATGATGGTGCACCACTGTCCAACCAGATTGTTGATGACTGGTTAAATCTTGTAAAAATTAAGTTTTGTGAAGAACCTGGTTGTTGTATTGCTGTCCATTGTGTTGCAGGCCTTGGGAGAGCTCCAGTGGTTGTTGCCCTAGCATTAATTGAAGGTGGAATGAAATACAAAGATGCAGTACAGTTCATAAGACAAAAGCAGAGCGGAGCTTTTAACGGCAAGCAACTCTTATATTTGGAGAAGTATCGTCCTAAAATGGGGCTGCGGTTCAAAGACTCCAATGGTCACAGGAACAACTGTTGCATGCAATAAAACTGGGATGCCTGATGCGACTGCCTTGAACGTGCAGCTCGAGGCAGGACCTGATTGTCATACAGATTAGCCCATGTGTTGGCTCGGTGAATGAGTCTAATGAAGCTTCTGTAGGAGCATTGCAAAGCAGTTATACAGGCTGCACACAAGCTTAACAGAATCACAATCTCTGGGTTTGGGTTATGATCATCATATTTGGACAATTACTACAAGACTCTTACTGTTCAGCATTTAAATTGTGCTTATCATTTGTACTAATTGACTTTCCTGAAACCATCCAGTACTGAGGATATTCCCATGCCAGAATCTTAATGATACATAAGAAATTCAGAAAGATTAGGCACCAAAATACCCAGCACAATACTCTTATATTTTTAGTATCACATAGAAGCAAAATTCCAGGAACTAAGAATACTCTAGACCTGTGGTTTATTCCTTCAGTCATTTCAAACACGGTAGGGCCTATGTGGCTATTTTCCTGCTCACTTTATGTTTACATCTCACATTCAAACCAGTATGCATCAGGTTTGCTTAAACATTGATTGTTCTTTTTGATTATTACCAAGTCTTATGGTGATTATTTAATGTCTTTCTACAAGTCTTATTTTTGCTGTTCTGGGAAACCTCCATTTTGAAAATCTACATTGTTACAGGAGCACATGTCTTTAATGTCTCAGACAAAAAAGCCTTACAGTTAATTTAATGCTTGCACTCCGAGGTGAAACTTAACAGGGAGGGCCTGAAAAAAGACTAGGAGTGGGCTATTCAATATTTTTAGTAAAACGTTGCCTTTGTCTTGTGCAGAACATGTAGAATATGCTCTTTAATTTAGTAAATATTTTTTAAAAGGTATAGATGCTTTGTTATTGTAGCTAGAACAATTCTTAATCATAAAATTTCTGAAATTCTTGTAATTTTTTCCGTACTTATCAGAAGTTGTGTACCAACTTATTTTTGTTTGCAGTGTGA